AAAAAATATATGCTATACGAATTCGGTCGGTCGGTCGGTTATTGAGAAACGGTAGATTCTGACCGACCGACTTGTCGGTTCTGAAAAATCAGAACCGACCACCGACCGACCATAGGTGAAAACCGACCGACCGACGTCGGTTTGAATCGGTCGGCTCGGTTTTTCGGCCACACTTGCTCACCCCTACTCTAACCCAGGGTCTCTGTGAAGTTGAAATCCCAGCAATCTGTTCAGGATCAGCAGCTTATGCGGTTGATGGATGACTTATCTACCAAAGAGTTTGAAATGACATGCGTTAGTATGTGGGCAATTTGGCAAGATAGGAATGCTATTAGGCTCAACAGTCTATTTCAGATTCACAAGGGAGAGGGAGTTGGATTCTTACCTATATGAAAGAAATTGAGGCTAATAACTCGTCTTTGTTGTCTGATGGTAATGCTCGTGAAACCAATCGTAGTAGTAGTGTTTGGAATCCCCCTCCTCCTGGGTGGGTTAAGATAAACAGGGATGTGGCATGCAAGAAAAGCAATTCCAACTCTGGATTAGGGGCAATTTGTAGAGATGAAGACGGTGGAATTTTTTCTGCAATGGCAAAGAATACAGGAGTGTATCACGAACCTTTAATAGCGGAATTACTGGCAATTCTTGAGGGACTGAGGTTTGCGAAGCTTCTGAACATACATTCTGTTCAATCTGGGTAGAGGATATCCACCATTTTGCAAATCTTTTTCCTGGCATCCCATTCGTGCATGTGTGTAGAGAGGCTAATACGATGGCTCATAAACTTGCTTCTGTTACTAATTGTAAGGAGACCAATTTATTATGGCTGAACGATTTTCCTGTGTGGATTCTTAATGAAACCATGAAGGACCTTGTAATTTGTTGGGCCCAAGTGGCCCTTCTCATTCGTTTTAATAAATTCAGTTTCCATTTAAAAAAAAATTATTTTATAATTAATTAACAATCCACTCCCTTGCAATGCAAGGGAGTGAGAAGTTGGTGGGTGGGGAGGTTGCTTCATCCCCACTCCTCTCCCTTTCGGAGTTCCATTTTGGCAAAGGTTGTTGAACTCCTCTCAAAAAGCTCTCTCTCATATTCTATCTCTTTAAAAAAGACGGTTCCCACAAACCGATCCTTGCCAATAGAATAGCGGGGAAGATTCTCTAGTGGTGTCGTTGAAATGTGTCGAAGAACGATCTTCAAAGGTAGGCTCTTGTTCTTTGCTTTGCTTTATTTTCTTAGTAGTTTTTATAAAACAAAATCGAAGCACAAGCGTTCACGCGCTTCCACTGCTGGATGCAATCCATTCAATTGGTATAGCCAATTTATGCTTTCAATCTTGTTTTGAATTGCATAGAAAAGAATGGTGGGTAATTTTTCTCTACATTTGATGTATGTGGTTTGTGAAATAGATGTTTTCGATTTTTGGCATTAGATTTACAGTTTTTCGATTGATTCGATCAATATAGGGGCCCGTTATTTTGGGCGTTTAATACTGTAAATTGAGTCTATAAGTCCGCACTGTTCGTGGCAAGGAATTGCTATGAAAGAGTACCACAAAATTGAAGCAAAATTGAAAGTTCCCCGTGTAGCAGGAGAGGACAGCGCCTTGGTGCTGCTCTGTAGGTTTTTTCCCGAGAGCAACCCGAGGCACTGCAGTGGGGACAGTGCGTAGGTGTTGGAAGAATTTTTTGTTTTAATTTTGTTTCATTTATGATAGGATGCCAAAAATCGATCTGTTTAATTATTATGCATTGTGAATTTATATTTAATTAGTTACATATGTTGTATAAAGTATGTCATATAGTTTTTAAAATCTCATCGTAGGATACATGCATCATATGTATATTTGATACATTATATGTATGTATGTTCATGCATCATATAGCTATAATTGTTATAATGTATGGATGTTTGTTTTAATTTTCATGTTTGATTAATATAAGAGTTGTATTAATTTCATGAGAATTAAATTGTATTGAGCATGACATTACTTTATTTTGATATGCCGTGTAAATAAGTCATTCATTGAATTAATGAATTTGTTATTTAAACTGGTCACTTAGGTAAACATATATAATAGTTCGTTATAAGTTAATACTGAAATTAGGGGTTGGTTTATAGCGGACTTAATGAAAGTAAGGAGTGTAGTTTAGAAACAAAATTAAAGATTGCATGCTTAAATTATTTAAGATCAGATTGATCGCAGAAAAAAGCTCTTAAATAGGTTAAAAACAATCTGGTATAGAAGTTAAAAGCTGATTTACTGCATACAATATTGTGATCTGGAATATATTGATATTGCCATAACATATCTATCTCTTTGATTGTCATGAGAACTACACAATTGGGTAACATTCATGAATTCATGGGTCAAACGTGTCTAATATATTTGTAATTTTTTCCCTAAAAAATACGCTTTTTAAAAATGAACCTGATACAAAATATAAGTCTAAAAACCTACCAGACACTTCTCTTAACGTTCAAGAAAACCTATTAGATAGGATTACTATGTAAAGTTTATGGGACTAAACATGTAATTTAGGACTAAAATAAGTATATAATAATATTACAATCATGCATAATGTTGCATTATTGATATTTAATCTTGAAACTTTATCTTCTATTGAACACACCTCTTAAATACACTCGCATAAATAAGAGCAACAAACGTCAACAAAGTAAAACCACACATTCCTCCATCGAGGGTTGATAAAGAGAACTATGAAGAGCCCCAATAATATTGTAAAATATGATACAATAAAACTCCAGTAGAATCCTTCTACATATATAACCCTTCCATCTTCATCTCCAAAATCATTATATCGATTGTTCGGTGTCAACTTAAAACGACCCGAGCAATCTCTTCCGACAAGTGGCCCACAAAGGTTGGGGTTACCCAAATAACTGCTTTCAAGAAACGTTTTGAAGTGCGGCGATATTGGGATCATGCCAGACAAATTGTTGTACGACACGTTGAAGAAAGAAAGAAAATCGAGCTCAGACAGTTTAGAAGGAATATCACCGTTCAGAAAGTTATAAGAAAGATCCAAACTCTCCAATTCTTTTAAATTGCAAATGGTGTTCGGTATTCGCCCTTCAAACTTATTGTGCGAAAAGTTCAAGGCATGAACTTTTTGCAACTCTCCAATTTGCAGTGGAATGTTACCGGTTAGTTGATTAGATGACAAATCGAGTCCAGCCATGTACAACAAAACACTTCCTTTGTACTGTTCCGATCTATTTTTGGTAATGAAATCTACTTGGATTTGTCCTTCGGAGTACTTGTTTTCATGACTGATACTCCACCACACAGGCTTTCCTTTAACTACAACATCAAGTTCAACGGAGAAAACGCTTATAAAACTACTTCCCATTGATTCATAAGGACTAATTTCTGCCCATTTTGAAACCCCAAATGACATATTACTTAAGCATGAGGGTACTGCTCCTTTAAGCTCGTTACTCGAAACATCCATAATACTCATTTCTCTTAACTCGCATACTCGTCGAGGAATCAAACCTCGAAAATGGTTTCCTTTTAACAAAAGGAATCGTAAACTCGAACATCTCGATATCCAATTCGGAATGCGTCCCGAGAAGCTATTACGACTCAAGTCGAGCACGGTTAGCTCTGAACTTCTTGAGAAAGCTTTTGGAATTGGCCCAGAGAAATTGTTGTCTTGCATGTACAAGTACTTCAGCGAAGGAAGGTTGAAGCAAGAGGGTATGGGGCCAGACAATTGATTTTGAGAGACATCTAAGAACTTGAGATAGTGAAGGGAGCAAAGTTTAGAGGATAATTTTCCTTGTAAATGATTTTTTGCCACTTGGAGATATAGAAGATTTGTCAAGCTGCCAATCCAATGAGGAATTTTACCTGATATAAGATTCTTTGATATATCCAACACAATCAAATCTGGGATGTCTTGTACTCCATCTTCAATACTTCCACTGAAATTATTGTTTCTCAATTGCAAACGACTTAGTTGAGACATGTTACTAAACATAGACATTTGTAACTTCCCAGAAAATCTATTATTTGACAAATCAAATATGTTCAAGCTTCTCATTGTTGTAATTGAGGAAGGAAGATTGCCTTCAAAATTATTCCTTGAAATGTTGAAGTGAACAAGATTTGGGAGAAGGAAACCCATGTCACTGGGAAGCTGGCCACTTAGGCTGTTGCAAGAAAGTTTCAAGTTTGTCAAAGGATGTTTGAAACTAGGAAGTTGGAGATTTCCAATGAGGGAGTTGTTGGTCAAAATTAGGTGGTCCAAATTTGTGTTGTTTTGCAACAACCAGACAGGGACTGTTCCAACCAAGTTGTTGTGGGAAAGGTCGACAAATTTAAGGTGGTGTTGTGTGGACAAGAAGTTGGGAATGTTTGAAGAGCCATTTTTGGTATTGAGGTTGCAATTGCTCAACTTGAGGACATTCAATTGAAAAGTGGGTGAGAAGGAGGGATTTTCAGTTTCCACTTGTAAGTTGTTGGTCATGGTTTTGGTTGAGAGTTGAAATACTTTGAGTTTTGATAAGTTGGCTAAGGAGCTGAAGGAGAATGGGCCTTCAAAGTTATTGTCATCAAGCTGCAAGATCTTGATTGATTTGAGATTGGAAATGGTGGGTGGGAGGATTCCAGTGAATTGATTGGAAGAAATGTCTAGAAATTCAAGGCTACTCAAGTTTAGGAGACATGGTGGAAATTGACCTGAAATCTGATTGGAACTTAGATCCAATCTCACCAATTTGTTTGATTTGCATAATCCTGCAGAATCAGAAACATTGTTGTAAAATCCAAAAAAAAAAAAGGGTAAAATCCAATCTACTTAGAAGTGATCAGTGAAAAATGGCAAAAATGAACCTAATTCAGTGGTAATTAGCATATATCTCAAATCAAGACGTTGTGAGTTCGATCTCCACTCTACATGCTGTACTAAAAACAAGATTTGTAAAAAATGTGATAATGTCGCTTTTTCTCTATTAAATCAAACGTGTAACTGATTATAAAGTCTTTAGAAAATAAAGCACTTTTTAGTACAACAAATGTGTGGGGAATGAAAGATTGAACCCTCAACTTTTAAGAAATTGCGGAACTATGATGATGCTCATGTTGTAAAAATAAATTACTTGAAAAGATCAATTAAAACTTAAAATGAGAAGGCAGTTGACCAACCCTAATAGTTATTAAACTACATTTGAATAGTTCTTAATTTAGAACTTTCTATTAAAAAATAGTTTTTAAATATAGACTCCCAACCATTCAAATTAATTAAGCGATAAAATCTAAGCCCAAAGCAAATACAATGATTAAATGAAAGTGGTTACCTCTCTCCCTCTCTTTCAGATCAATTTTTGTTTCTTTTCGTTAGTTTTAATGAAAATTTTAAAATGAAAAGTTTGTATCTTGTTAAAAGAAGAAAAAGAATATATGTTCTTACCTTGTAATAGCTTTGAGTCATTGATTTTATTATTGCTCAGCATCAATTCTCTCAAGTTGTTGAAATCTGCTAGCCAAAGGAACCAACACAAAAGGACAACTTTAACATTAAAATTTCAGAAACAAATTTAGTCAGTATAACTATTTTGTTTTTTATTTTTTATTTTTGAAAATTAAACTGATAAACGTTACTCTCAGAAAACAAAATGGTTATAGAAAAGTTTGATATTACATTGGTGATTGGTGAAGCCAGAAAACCCATTGTAAGACAAGTCAAGCGATTCCAATTTATGGAAAGGCCTTAAGAGAGAAGCATCGAAAAAGTAAATTAGTGGATGGATAGAATCGTCGTTGTTCAACAAAGTGGTGAGGGAGAGATCGATTGTAAGAGCAGAGACGGGATGGCACTGAACTCCACTCCATTGGCAACAGTTGCTGCTCCCACTCCAAGATGTGAGAGGATCCATGCTCAGCCTGTGTTTGGTGAAGAAATCCTTGAGGCCCAACAACCCTATTCTTTCTTTTTCTGAGCACCCATTAATATTGTATCCCTGCAACTGCAATTCCACCACCAAAATGAGCAGCAGCAGCAACTGTTGTTTCTTGCCCATTTTCAACTTCTCAACCATTTTTCTTTCTTTTCTTTTCTTTTGTATGATTTTCAATGTTGTTCATCACTTTGAGTTTAAATACTGCCAGATATGAGAAATGTTAAATGTGTTGTTTATTATATTCATTCGTACCAACTTCTCCACTTTTTGGTTTTTCTACTTTTCAAAATCAAATCATATCTCGCCTTGTTTCAGTTATTCTATTAGTGTAATTATTACATTTAATTTTAGGATTCGAGGTGATGGATCGGCTTTTTGATCGAAGATGGATGTCCAACTATTAAGGGATGACTTGCAAATGGAACCTTACACCCGTATGGTGCTCAACCACATACATTATCAGGTTGTGTCGAACTTTGTTTTTTTTATTAGAGGCCTTTAAAATGTTGTCCTTCATGTCGGCGCTCTGTACCTACCTGACAAGATTTTACATCTGTAGCCATTCGTGTTTTCAAGTCGATATCAAGGAGGGCTTCTGATGGGTCAACTAGATGGTTATACCTGTTCAAAAGCCTAGACACATGTTCTCAAATGAGTGGTCTATGTAGCAGGCTTTGATTCTACTAACCCATCAAATTACATAAGGCGATGACCTGATGATTGGAGCAAATAATTTACTAAATTGTTAAATTGGAAGAAACTAATTAATTGGGCTAATAAAGTTAAGTTCATTTTGGAGATGTTTGGCTTATGGTTTTATCTGCATCAACCTGTTATATTAACATTTGACTCAAATGTTAACAATAAAATCTCATTAGAAGTAAAATAAAAAAAAAAAAAGAAAAATCGATTCATTAAAAAGAAAAAGAAAAAAGAAAAAGTAGCTTCACCTTGGAAAAGTAAAACGAAGTTTCCAAAGTTCTCTATAGTTGTGATAGTGTTTAACCACATGATTACTATTCCACTATGTAGGGTTAGTGGAGTTGTGATATCCATTCCTTGCCTAACACACTGTATTATTTTAATATTTAGATTTAAATCTTCTAACAAAAATTGTATTTTTCAAGAATGTGTGCTTCATTTGGGAGATAAAATTTACCTTAAAATCTTAATTTCATCGAGTGATTTAAATATATAATTGGTAAAATTAATATACTTAAAATAAATTATTGATGCCTTAATTTGAATTATATGTATAGATTAGTAATTTTGTGTCTTGTTAAATTAAGGAACAACAAGCCAGATTCAAAGTTCAAACATCATAAATCTTTCAGCATATAGAGTCAATGCTCAAAAAATATGAAAACAATCGAGCTAAAATCCTATATGATAATTCCAAATGAAAAATCTAAAGATCAGGATCATCAATCATTTGGTAGGCCTTCAATTTCATCATTTTCATTCTCTCCGTCATTAGACTTGTAGTCATCTATATCTTCATTGGAAAATTGAGTCAAATGATCTTCAAAAGTTTATGGAATGCTCAAATGATCCACCTCCTCACATAGTGCTTATGTGACCCACTTGAATATTTAATTAAATTTAAAAGGAAGTGAAATTACACTACTACACCTTAGTTCAAAAAATCAAACCATTCGCTCCCCTTTCTCTCCGTTTTCAATTTCCCCCGCTTCTTCTCCATTTTCAGCCGCTTCAATTCCCTTAGAATTTCTGCTGCATTTTCATTTTTCCTGGAAATTCGTTTGGAAACAAAGTGAAAGAAAAAAGGTTTAATCTTTGAGGTAAGTTTCGTTTCTTTCAATTTTTCCACTGTTCCGTCGATTTGAACGGTTAGGGCTTCGTTTCTTTACGATTGTTGAAGAGTTTAATGGCTTTTTTTTGGTCCATCGATTATGTTTTCATATGTTTAGATGAACGAATACATGAATGTTAATACATCTATTTAGATATTTTTCCGCCGATTCGTTGTCCGGTTTTACTTTTTTTTTCGTTCCATGTTATTTGTTGATTTTTCCTTCGTTGTTGTTCTGTTGAAATTGAGGTTTGAGGTCTGTGGGAGATTGATAGTAGTTAGTTCTCAGTTGTGTGGTGGGTTGAAGAAGAAGAAGGAACGTCACTCTTGTTAAGCCTCTGTCAATTTTTCTCGGGTTCGACCTCGGGCGAGGTTTATCCCGAGGTATTTGAAAGAGGCTCGAGCCTCGCGGTTTAGCCTCTTCCGAATACCTTGGGCTCAATCTCGCTCGAGGGCAAACTCGAGAAAAATAATAGAGAGCACAAACCCTCAAGCGACTTTCAAATTTCTGTATAGTGTACATTCTCGGGCCCGATCTTGTCCAAGGTGGTGCCCGAGGAATGGAATGTAAACTTATCTAGAAAATTTGAACTTCGCTCGAGTAATATATATTTTTCGGGCACTACTTCACTCGAGTTATTTCCTAAATAATTAAACAGTGTTCATTTCTCACCATATATTTTACTTATAGAAATAGAAATGGTATTGAAGGTCCCTCCTGCGCTGTATGCCTCGTTCCTGCTGACATGTCTATCGCACCCAGCGAAGACATCGACGGAAGTCATTCGGACTACCCACTGGGTGGCGTGAGGTGGAGGCTGTCTATTTACCCTTCAATGTAAACAACAACCACTGGGTTACAATTTGCATAGATCTTGTTGAAGGTGAGATTGTTGTCTGGGACTCCCTGAGGGCAATTATCTCAAATGAATCGTTGGAGGATCAACTGAACGTCATGTGCAGAATCATCCCGTCGTTGCTGTTCAAATTCGAGGTGATCGTGGTACGTCAAGGCCTACCAATCACACCATGGCGCATTCATAGGGTTACATTTTTTGTGTAACTTGTTGAGTGAAGTTATGTTTTGTAGTATAGGTCTCTTGTTAATGCAATACATACAAACTAAGTGGATTTAGTTGCTAACTAGGGGATTTATTTGATAAGTGTTGCTTCATAAATTGATTATTAATGAAGTTTATGACTACATTTTCAAAATATTCATCATTTTAAGCGGTTGTGTTTGAAGAACATTGAATTTTACGGTTGAGGTAAGCTGGTTTACACGCGAATTCCCGTCGCAAATATTTGCGTATGGATTTTGTTTGGTGAAAGAAATTGTGATACCACATGGAGGATAGATATTCGCCGAAATAAGCTTGCATAACTTAGCAGCTCCACCTCAAACCGACCGAGGCGTGAGACTTTGCCATTTCTAGCACAGTTTAATACTTGCTAAACGGTTCGACCTGCTCGAGTTTGACCTGAGTGACTCGACAGGTTCGATATTCTACAAAAACGACAAAGATAACTGCTGGTCGTGAGGTCTATTGGACCTTGCGCCTATAAATAGAGGGCCCGATTTCCATTTCAGGTAAGGAATTTATCCTCAAACTTTATATTGAGTCCGAGCTGCTTACTGACTTGATCGTCGGAGATTTTGTCATTTTGTGCAGGTCTTCTTATTGTGCTTGAAGTAGGAGCTTGGACTGAGTCGGACCTTAACTAGGTCAAACATTGTGCAAATTCTTGCATAAAGATTTGACGCCGTCTGTGGGAAAGAACGTTCTAAGTCATTCCTAATCACAAATCAAGCCGAGATGGCTGAGCCAGCTGTTTCTGTTAACTCTACGGACCACCGTATTTTGAATGGAAACAATGGCCTCTAGCGCGAGGTCAATGCTAAAGTAGTGGAGGATCACGTCCAAGGAGGTCAGGGAGATGATTGACCTCGCAGGTCAACCAGCAACGCGAACACGGCCCTACCTCACACTCATCCATGACAGACCAAGGCCCACCATGGCCGAGGTGGAATATAAAAAAGGACTTCACGCAAGTCCACTCCAATCGTAGATCCTGATGTCCTTTCCATCTTCTAGCACGAGCTCAATGACATTTGTAATCGGGTGCGCACGATGGAAGAAACTTACACTGAAATAACGCGAGCCAATCGCATCAGGTCCTAATCTACGGTCCCAGTGGATGGGGACGATCAGTATCGAGAGGGGGAATCCCTAGATCCTCCTCTCCACCCTGATGACAATCAATACTCTGAAGATGATAGAGGGGCCGACTACAGCCACTAGGAGGGAGACTTGAGAAAACACCTGCCTGATAAGAAGAAGAAGAACTCCGCCTTTATAGGCGAGGATGTCTCTCTTTCTTGCTCGCGAAGAAATTCAAATCTCAAAGCTCAGTCTCGCTACAACCCACTCGTACCAGAAGGGGTGATCACGAGGGATGAGTTCGACCTGATGAAAAGTAAATTTGATGCGCAGGTCGAAGCTCTTAAAACGAGGTGCGAGAAGAAAGAGAATGTTGATGATGGTGAAATGGGTGAATCGCCATTCACCTCGGACATTCTTGAAGCATCCATTCCTGCAAAGTTCAAAACGCCCACAATGAAGCTGTATGACGGGTATAAAGACCCGAAAGACTATGTCGAGGTCTTCAAAGGACTTATGGACTTCCAGGCGGCCTCGAACGCCATTAAGTGTCGCGCATTTCAGATTGCGTTGACTGGGAGTGCACGACTCTGGTATAGAAGGGTGCTGGCCAGGTTGATCTCGACCTAGAGCCAGCTAAGGAAAGATTTTATACTTTTCTCGGTACTATGATCGAAAAACAGCCACACATCTCGCCACCACCCGACAGAAGGAGGGTGAGACCCTTAGAGAGTACGTGACTCGATTCCAAGAGCAGCTCAAGGTCACACACTGCTGTTAGAGTTGACTTTTTACTGTAGAATATGTGTCGGTAGCCTTGTTTGACCATGATTTTGACCCCTTTTCCATCATTATTTGCCAATAAGAATTACATATTCTTAAAGTAGAACATGCATAGAACATTTCTACATAAAAGTCAAACTATGGTACTTTAGGAAAATTATGAGAAAAATGCAGTCAAAGTTAGAAAAAAATAATAGTTTTCTATTTTGCAGGAATTGCGCCTGGCGCAAATTTGGACACCAACTTTGGCAAAATGTGCATTTCGATTAATGAGGGGCAAGGAGGATATTTTTCATGTGTTTGAATCAAAGTATAACCGTGAGTCTAAGTCAAATGAGAGTTGTTAGGTGTATAACTCATTTCCACATAAACAGGTGGGAATTTTAA